CATAATACTGTTGTTGTACGTTGATGATCTAAAATCATATATTATATAAACCGACATTATTGAATAAGTTCTCGGTTTACATATTGATATATGTAAGAAAAATGGTAGTTGAAATTCAATACTAATAACAGACTATAGGAGGGAATTCATTTGTAAATGATCGCTTATCATCTTAAGCCTACAATGTTACGAATAGATTTTTACTCATAATTATGAATTCATCATCATTGTCTAGAGGAGAATTTTTGTAACATTTCATACCTTTATACTAAGTCGAAAGAAAAATTTCAGTTAAAATGAAGCATTCCAATACTGTTATAGAGGGTCTATGCTGCTAGAAATGATGAAATACTTGTCTAGTTTCTGTTCATATCTGATCTCAAGGTAAGATTCCAAGTTGCTTCATCAATCAAATATAAGATGTAATAAGTCTCATAACTGATGTAAAATCATGACCATACATATTAATAACTTTTCAGTTTTTTTATTAGAAATAACATGCATTATTCAATGTCAGTGTCAGCAATACACGACTTTATTCATCAATATTATAAATAACCTTTGATTTTTTCAGTTTTCACTGTATTTATCAGGCAGTAATGTTTTATGTGAGATTACCATTAGGTTGTTTTCTTTTACATCTGGTTCTTGCTAACTTGCAAATCAATCTGCATTACACAGATTGGGTAAGTGACAATAATCATGTATTGCAACACGATTGTTTGCGTGTACATGCTTCACTTGATAAAGGGCATATTAGGCGTGAATTGATAACTTATTGTATGGATGATCTACCATCGAAATTTCATATGGAAAATAATCATATTTTTCCCAAGTTTACTTTTGCAGAACTTGCGAAAGAGAATATTACTAGTTATCAATTATATCTTTGGTCAGCACCAATTGACGTGGCAGAGCGTTATCAACTCTATCTAAATCAAATGTCAATATCAAATAATCGATCTTTGGAAAGAGAAATTTACTATAATTGTACATTGCCAAGATTTGGTTCGTTATGTCAATATGAAATTAACTATGTTCATGAAAACTATTCATCTCTATATGATATGATCAATAATTACTATGAAGAGCGATACTTCAATCCTGATGTAAACTGTTATACTCATTTACAATGTAATCGTGGTCCATCACCAGCTTGTTTGGATTGGACAGAGATTTGTGATGGTCAAGTTGATTGCATCGATGATAAAGTGGATGAAAAAGATTGTTGGAAAATTGAAATTCATGTATGTCAAGATGATGAATTCCAATGTTCGAATGGACAATGTATACCTATGGCTTTTTATCGCGATGATGAGACTAGTGAAGATTGTGCTGACATGACAGATGAACGTTCGCCACAAGTAACAGAATCGTTGCGCTTCATTTATAAACAACCGTCATTTATAAATGAAGAGATCAAATTTCGTCCACTACCCATCGGAAATCTTAATTTCGGTATGCGTCGAAGCCATTTATTTCAAGCTTTATTTTTGGCTAAAGATAACTCTACATCCGAAGATTGTTGGTCAGCCCTTAGATCTACAATCCAACAATCAATATATGAAAAGCCACTTTTTAATAAGACATGCGTGAAACAAGAGTGTTTTGAAATCATTGAGAAAGAATGTCCAGATGTTTTCTATTTCCCTACGGTTCCAGTCTTTTCTAATAACATTCGACTGGCATTCAACAAAACCGATCTGTCAATTCTCAAGCGTCTATACTATGGAGCAGCTTTCATATGTTACAATAGTTCTGATTATGAGTACTATGTTCCTCCTGGTGAAATTTTTTTATTCAATAATGCAACCTGTTTCCATCCTGGCCCCATAATGATTTTTAATACGTTGAAATACACACTGGAAGAAGAATATCTGTCTCCTTTGTATCAATTCATATATAAAATGAAACCATACTTTTTAATTTATAACTATACTTCTGGAATGTGTAATAGATCTAACATGTATCATTGTATCAACTCTTCAAAATGTGTCTCAATGAATCGTCTGATGGATACTAGAATGGACTGTCCAAAAGGTGATGACGAAAATCTAACGCATATTATGGAT